TTGATTTATTGAAATTATTAAACCACCTAGGAAAGTTAGAAAACTTTAATGTGGTTTATATAGTGAAAGTTTGATAATTGGGTAGGCCCTAAGGGGTACCAATAGTCTTTGAAATGTGGGAGGTCTATATCCTATCAAGTTCGATCCTAAGCCCAAGCGTGCTTGGCCATCCATCCGACTAGCTCGACTTGACTCGGTTCAGCTCGGTGCAACACAACAAGAGCCCATGCCCATGTTTGAGTTCGAGTGCAGGTAGGTCCTTGTACTATGTTAACTTTTTGAACAAAATTTATTCAAAATTTTTGGGCCAAATTAAAATTAATCAAATTATTGGGTACTTAACGAAATTAATTTTGATTGGCCTATTCTTGGATAATTTTTTTGGTCTGGATGGTTCTGTTAATCAATGAAATAGTCATCTGTTAACCGATGGAACGGTCTTCTATTAATCGACTTCACTGACGCAATACTGAACAATGCTATATATTTGAGTTTGAAGGCTATTTGAACAATGACGACTGTTTTGAAAGGGCATAAGGGATGTTCGAATGGCTACGAACGAGTCTATAAATAGCTTGTCCCGTTATTAGAATAATTACATCATTTTCATTGCCAATGTTCTCTGCTTTGAATCTCATTCTCCCAATTTCTCTCGTTCTAATATTGTTCTGGAAGTGTGAACACCTCATTGAATTTGTTGGAACTTCTACAGATTATTGTGCTGTTTCCGTAGGAGACGAAATTCGTTTTATCTTGAGAAACAATTGTTGAACACCTTTAGCACCTTTCAAGACAGCAAATTCATTTTAAGAACATATCGTGAAGTTGATGGGCTCGAAATAACATTCTGATCATGTTGATCATCTCGTGACACTATGTAGGTTACAATACGTTAATTCTGTTAGGGTGTGTTTGATTACATTTATTTTCCATGAAAAATATCAGTTTTCCACCCAAATTCCTACTTTGAGTGTTTGATTGCTATTTTTTTCCATGGAAAACATTTTCCAACTTTTGAAAATATGCCTAATTTTCCTTGTTTTTAAGGAAAACATTTTCCTTGAATAAAGGTGATTTTTATTTTCCATAAAAGATGGAAAACATTTTCTTTTCTAGGTGATATTTTCCATGCTAATCAAACATACTCCTAGTGTATTATTTTCATATTGTTAGAAAGAGAAACTTATACTCCAAAAATGACAAAAAAAAAAAGCTCTGAGCCATGGGCCATTTGTTGGAAGTACCAGACATTATTCGCCTACATGGTAATTTCTCTTGGACTGGATCCATTTAGCCTGATCTTCGGTTATGCATTACTATTCTGAATGTTTTAGGTGGAAGTAAAATCTTTTAAGAAAGATGATCGCCAGAACTAGCATAGTTGATGCCTCCTCGAAAAGAAGAAGTCATGAAATTAACATGAGTGCAGTATGTCTTTATTTTCTTTGATGACTCCCATTTCATTGAATATTAAAGAAAAATGGAAATTAAAGGACCCGTTTGATTTGTGTTTCAGTTTTCAATTTTGAGTTCTTTTTCAATTTTCTATTTTATGAGTCTATTTTAAAATGGTTAAAAATACGTTTAATTTGTCATTTTGAAAAACTCTAAAAATGCTGTAGTTATTTTTACTTTTGTATAATTTAGATTGATTTCTCCACATATTAATCTTTGAATGGATTCTCCAAGTATTATTTTTGTTGTGTTAGTTTATTAGATTGAGTTTAATATATTAAAAAGTCCTAATTTTTCTTCGATTTTAGATACTTTTCTTAATATTTTTACGATCTTGATAGGATACGAGGAGGAAGACAACATAATCTTGTTTGCATTTTAACGGTAATACATTATAACATGATATTTTAATAGTATAACATGATATCTTAAATCATCTTATAACACAATACTATAAACAATTTATAAACATGAACCAAATATAGGCCAAATATACAAACTCAGGCCATTTCTAGTCAAACGAAAAACGATATTATAAAAACATGCACAAACTCGGGCCATTTGTAGTCAAACTCGTAGGATCCAAGAACTTGATTACTAATTTAAGGACTCAACAATTGACACACAAGAAAAGAAATCCCTTCAATCAAACATAAACCAACAGTACAGTCCACGATGGAGTACATCATACAAACATTGCAGGAGACCACCAAAGTCGAAAGAAAACAGTTTTTGGGACGTTACAGCATCACATTTGAATTCTGATATTAAAATCTGCATATGGTCAAGAAGACCAAAATATTTTTACGCTAGAAATAGGTTCCTTCGGGAGGCTGGACGAGCTTACGATTTTGTGGGGCAGCCATCTCTTTCTTCAGTTGCGTCAGTATGTCTTCCATCATATACTCTCGCTGCCAATTTGATAGAAGTCCAAACTTCTTGGGTTCCACCTGTACCAAGTAAGAAAAACAAGACTGTCAATCATTTGAATTGTAAATGCTTCAACAAGGGCACCATGCAACTCTATTCATTTGTCTGTCTTTAGCGTCTTTAGGATGCATGTGTAAAGTATTAGGTCTTATTTTTACCCATCCGACATCTGGGAATGTAGTAATTCGAGCTATTAACAAAAAAGAACATAGTATCAACTTTAGGATTAGATAAATATCTTCGTACCACTCCAGTTTCATGGTTGACGCAAGTCATGTTAATCCGAGAATGGAAACGAACACTTGGTGGCTTCTCTGGATAATCTTTGTCACAGAATAACTTTAACTGATATATGCGACCTTCATGTACAGACTGCGGGTAAAGATAAACAAACAGACAGTTGAGCACTTTTCATCAATGAGTTTTAAAAACTGCTGAAATATCAAACGATGAGCCTATTGGACTACCATCAGATGATGCAATACCCCATATTAACACAATTAAGTTTAACTATTGCATAATATTACGTCCCATAGTTAATTGAGCCCTTATAGAAGTGGTGTATTAACCGCACACTTGATAAAATCATATTATATATCAAGAAAAATGCACCCAACCAACTAAAATAAAAGCAAGTATTTGTGTAACAGATGATACATCACAAATTTGGCCAACTAAACAACTCGAGTTCTGTAAAAAAAGCTATGATTATATCCATGTTAAAATGAACAGAATAGTTAGGCATATAAATAAGGTCAAATGCAGAAATGCACTTCATCATGAATAGTTAGGCATATAAACAAGGTCAAATGCAGAAATGCACTTCATCATGACCCACAACTCTATTCTTTCTCCAAAAGAAAAAAGATTCATAGGAGCAATATTCTATTTTTACTCCTCATGCAAGGGAAAGGGATAAAAGGCAGATTTCAATTTTTATTTTTTATTTTTAAATCAAAATATTTTATTATTAATAACAAAAGAAAGTTACAAATGAGAGAGAGAGACGAAGCCAAAACCTCCCGAAAGGAAATGCAAGCACAAAGCATTCATAATTAAATCCAATGAACATTCCAAGAATCTAATTGAAATCAATTAAAAGTCAATATGATAAAAAAACAAAATGCTTAAATTCTCAAATTAGAATGAAGCACAGAAGAGAGGGGGAGAAGGCACATTTCTTGTCTTGAGCATAGGAAGCAGCAAAGTCGGAATCATATATTGATTAGAATAACCACTAAAAAATGACTTCCGACATCTTTCCTAGTACAAAAACATTAAACCAAAGATCTAATGTGTAGTGCATCAAATAAGGGGGGGTAATGGTACAAATTAGATCTTTATATCCAAGTAACATGGAGTTAATTTCTACAGGCATATCCACAGAGTTGATTCTTCAAACTACTGGATGTCAAGTCAAGCAAGTTAAAAAGAGGGGAAGATACTCACGTTGTGAGGACCTATGATAGTCCCCGTCCAGGATCGCATGTAAATGTCATCTGCATCATCCATTCCATAGCTTACTGTGCCATCTCCAATTCCCTTTTCCCCACGCTCAAGTTCCTCCAGCAACCTGAAATTTCGAGGAACTGCAGGCAAACTAATAAACTTGAGATTCTAAATATTTTAATTTCATATGGATATGCACCTGTCCATCAAAACTTATATACAAGGACCAAGGACCCATCTGTTTTTTCCATATATAGCCAGACAGCTTCTCTACTCCAAGGCAATAAATGAAGCCATTCAGATACATTATGCATAAAACGAATAATTCTGATAATCATTAAAGAGACCCAGTTATAGATAGATTATCAAAGTCTACATGACAATTTATACGTTGCATATTTATAACAATCCAATATACGTATGAGAGAGAGAAAATCAAAGAGAGAAAGAGGATCTAAAATCAACCTCAGAAAAATATTATCACATCTTGCAAAAATGCTTTCTGACTCATACCAAATGTCTTGGTTAGCATGGCACAGGTTTTAAGAAGATAGTAAAAAGTATGAACGTTTTCTGGTTTCAAAATTTTGACTCCTGTTGCATAACATAAACGTAATGCAGGACGTGATATCTTACATTGGATGTAGGTAAATTGAGTGTTAAAGTAGCCTATTTATACAAATTTTAGAACAATAGTGTACTATCGATGTTGAAAGACAACTTCAATCAAAGCTCCAGCTAAAGATACAAATAGCGATGAGTATTTCCTCAAAATAAAATCAACGCAGCTCTAGATAACAAATTCCTTGGCCAAAAGAGCTTGCTTATGAAGCATCAATCAAAGAGTGAAAGCACGTTGACAATAAAATGGAATTAACGAAAATGAAACAGGACAACAGACCATGCTATTCAATCCTATATGCTACTCCAAAACGTCAATTCTAGATGTAATCTTCATGAGCCAAGGAGAACAAGAGAACTGCAAGAAAAGAAGCTCCTGTTTCGAC